GCAAGAGTAGATTTCGGTAGTAGTAGCCTATTTTTATTTGGTCTAATTGAGTATTTGTAATTTGTTTCACTTATTTTGGTAAATAGTTCTGGGTGGTTTTTTACAAATTTTTATGTTTCCCAAATATAAATAGACGTCAAAGTCAAAATTTTAAACTTTTTGAAGTGGGGCTTACAACTTTCTGGAATTTTTATGTTTTCCAAGATTCTTATAATTTTTTTTTTGCATCATAAATAATTGCTGTGCATCTTTACTTTTTCCCCGCAACATGACATACACCGTATGACAGCCACAAAGATGTGTATGCGTAATATGCTGGCAGAGCGCAGGGGACATCTGTGGTTTTCTTTATTTCTCGTAATACGTAAGTGAATTTTGATAGTCTATTTTTTACTTTATTATATGGCCTTTCCAGTTTATATGGCAGTCGGTTTCCAGGCCTAACAAGTTGAAGTTGTCAACAGTTCCTATAGGTATATTATTATAAGTAAAAGCGATATTTAGTCGTGATTTTTGAACTGGTCGGAATTGCATAGTTTTGGTTTTATTAAAATTTATCTCTAGGTTGTGATGTGTCAGCCAATTTGTAACCTGGTTTAATACTTGATTCAATTTATTATTTAAATTCTGGTTTTTTGTATGCGGAATAAGAATGGAAATGTCATCAGCAAATATAATAGAGGTTTCAGTCAATACCTTAGATTGAGAAAGAAAATCGCACAACACAAAATGTAAAATTGCTCTTCATACCTTAAGAAAAAATAAAAATTTATTATTTGTAATTTTATATTATTAAAATAAAAAAAAATCATCATCATCGAAGCTTTCCAAAATGCGAATGAATTCTGAGGAATCGTTCATGTTGCACTGCACTATTTTTTCCGCTATTCGTTTATGACGTCATCAGGGTGTCGTCTATCCTTGCGGCGCCCAATGAACTGATAATCGATGAGGCGCTAAGGATGCGCCAGAGTTATGCGCCAGATATTAGATTTATTATGCGAAGTTGATTTGATCAAATCTGCTTTTATTTATGTGGCTGATGCTAGTTTTACGTTTCTTACCTTTTGTTTTATTCAAATATCAATAATAATTAAAAAAATAACACGTTTGCGTTTAATTTTGAATAGTTTTCAATAAATCTATGCCTAACGCATTAAAACACTAGCGGTAAAACATAGACGACTTTGGCGTGCTGGACATAGTATTTGCTTAGATAAAGATCCATTATTTTTAGTTCAATGTTTCTTAGTATTTTTGGCTTTAGGAGACTTGTTTTTTATACTCACATGTTGCTGGGTTATTCCTTTTTGAGGTGTAGAATTAAAATACCAGTAATAATTTTCCAATATCTATATTTAATACTTTTGCGGGCCGGGTGTTTTGTCAACTATAGACGTGGGCGCTCAGTGCCCGCAGGTGCTGGTCCAGTACAGGCGACTTTGGTGCTCAGAAGGTTAAGATTATGACTTACGGGCAACAACGTTTTTGCCTACCGATCGAACCTTACAAATGTGTGCGTTCGCAGTGAAATCAGTTAAAATACTGTAACCACGCATTTTGAATAAAGATAAAAAGGAGAGACTAGTTAAGAGATTTCTTTTAATTCCGAACCGATTATTGCAAAGTAACCCTTTATAATATAATTAATGATTTTTTAAATAAAATAAAGGTGACAAACGAGCACATATTCTACCTTACGGATAATTAGATGCTATAGTCCATAAACATTTACATTTATGCTCGATTAAGAATCAAAATGCAAATGTGCTGTCACCCCTGAGAACTAAGATCAAATGTCTCATTTCCATTAAAAAGGATCTCCGGTTCCCAACACTCACCTACAATAATCTACGAATCATCTACGAAACAGCAGCATTAAGCTGCTATTTCATTCTGATATTTTGTGAGAGTGTGGTCCCCTAGGTCCAGCCAACCCATTCGTGCATATAATCCTTCCTACAATGAGAAGAGGTCATATTTAGCAGTGGGTTTTACGATGTACTAATGTTAGTACTTCTGATTTAATACCTTGCATGCGAGCGCGTACCGCCTCCTCGCTGACGTCGACGGTCCAGGTGCCATCGTCGTCGTCATCATGCTTAGCCTTTTCTTTCTCCTTTTTGCTGCTTTTCGGGTTAGGAGTGGTCGGTGTAATTGGGGCATCACCCTCCTGAAATTTAAGTATTCCAACAATCAATAGAATAATAGGGAATTTTCAGGTAGATTATCCTAATGATTAATCCATTATTGTATCATATAGAGCTAGCGGCACTACGATTTTATCCCGCGCGATTATTTTATCGCAGAAATGCAACGTATGAGTTACGCCCTGTCCGCACTGCGATATTTCACCGCACGTTTTTATTCTCGCAATTCTGTAACACATTTAATCTTATAGGAGTATCCGCACTGGCGGTAAAAAAATCACGCGGAAAAAAAATCTGTGATTTGATGCAAATTGAACGCGATGCGGCAAGGATTTATTTCCGCGCGAGTGTTTTGTACAGTATATAGTAGTTATGGCTATGGCCGCACTGCGAAATAAAATCCGCGCGTTTCGCTCAGTCGTGTACTGGCGCTGTTGGCAGGATGTCGCGCGCTTCGTCTCCCGCCCGATCGGGAGCCGCAGAGAAGTTAGAAAATGACGACATTGATATTGAGCAATTAATCACGTTGATACACAGGAGACCTCCCCTGTGGAACAAATTTAATCCAAAGTACCACGACAGAATACTGAAGGCGAGATTGTGGGTGGAAATATATCAAGACATATATTTTAGTTGGGAACAATGCAGTGTTGTTGAAAAAAAAACAAAAAGGTAAATATAAAGTATTTTTTTTAATTTAATGACGTTTACAAATTAAATATTTTTATTTATAACCTTTGATTATATACCTACATGTCTAGATTGAGCAATGCAAACAAACTTCGCGCAAAAACCGGCCCGAATTACGTGATATGTCTTACCTTTACTTACGTCACCGCTCGTGTATTTATTGTAGTCAAACTGTCAAGATGTGCGTGTTTAGGGATACTTGCTCCAAATTATTAACTTAACTTTTCCCCATTATTTAATAAGGTATAGTTTAAACAAAATAGGTTAAATAAAGTAACTATTTCGTAGATTAGTGTTTTATTTAATTTAGTAAAAACAAAAAATATAAACATAATTACAAATATTTTTCTTTTAATTTTTTTTAAACAAACAAAAACTTATAAGTAATACTGCATCTTTTTATGATAAATAAATAAATATTAAAATAAAATATTTTTATTCATTAACAAAATGTTTAAAAATTACAAAAAGATGTAATGATATTTATAATGTGTCTCCCATAGTTTCGCTAAGTTTCCCTAATATTAAACTGGCAACACAAGCTAATCAGACTAACCTAAACAGTAACGAATTAAAAAACTGTGTTTTCTTAAAATAAAGTAGTTAAATAATATAATTTACTTCTTTACTTCCCACGTAATTGCGATGCAATTTGATAGCACAAACCGGCATAATTAATCATTTTTCGTGAGCTTATTATCCATAGGTGACTCAAATGACACTGGCGTAGGTGAGAAGCGAGTCTACCAATAATTATAGTAGACTTTTTTCGAGCCGTTCGGTACGGTCAATGTGTCCATCTAGACATGTATATAATCAAAGATTTTTTGTTGGTCTGTAGTTTAATATAGAATATATACCTATAATATGGGTAGACGTTTATATTTTATATTTTTTCATATTGCCATGGAATTGACCCTTTCGGTGAATCAAAATATTCTGCAAAATATTGTCTATTTTCAATGCTGGATATTCTAGATCTCACAGGAGTAGGGTGCAAACTTTGTAACTCGGTCCCATACAATTTGTCCTTAAACCGAATTCCATCATGTTTGCGTACGTAATTATGTAAAATGCAACATGCTTTAATTATCTGGTCACAAGTTGTTACTTTTACATCTAAAGCCCGATGTAAAATTCTCCATTTATTAGTAAGTATGCCAAAAGTGCATTCTACAAATCTTCTTGCTAGTGTGAGTCTGTAATTAAAAACTCTTTGAGTTACAGATAGGTTTCTTCTGGGGTATGGTCGCATTATGTGTTCTGAGAGAGCGAACGCTTCATCTCCAACAAAAACATAAGGCATTTTTTCCCCATTTTCATCTTTTGGTAGGTAAGTTGGTGATGGAAGTATTAACTGACCACCTTCAAGCTTCTTTCCAAATGCAGAATTTTTAAAAACGGTAGAGTCGCTACTGCTGCCGTAAGCACCTATGTCAACACTGATGAAATAATAATTTGCATCAACCACCGCCATTAAAACTAAGGAATGATATTGTTTATAATTATAAAATTCAGAACCCGCGCCATTAGGCTTTTCGCACCTTATATGCTTTCCATCCACTGCTCCCAAGCAATGTGGAAAATGGGTTCTTTTATAGAAAAGTTCGGCAGTATGGGACCAAGTTCGTTCATCTGGTTCTGGCATGTATAAAGATTGTAAACAAGACCATAGTCTTTCACACGTGTCTTCTATAATTTCACCAATTGTAGAGATACCAATTAGATATTCGTAATATAGCGAATAGTAGCTATTTCCTGAAGCCAAGTACCTGCAATAATTACAACAAAATATGTAACACCAATAATATAAAATTCAAACAAATTATAGTTTATTATTTATCTACACAACAATTACCTTATTTTATTTTCTTTTACAGGAGCTGATGTGCAAAAAAAATGGAAAAATCTTAAAGATACATACTTCAAGGAGGTGGCAGCTGATAAAAAGGTAGTTTCGGGTCAAGCCGCAAAGAAAAAAAAGACCATACATACACATGGGAGCACTTTCATTTTTAGCCACTCAAAAATCAATGAGAGATACGACAAATAATATTAAAGACACAGAAAGCACTTAACAGTAATGCCGAAGACCTTACAAATCAATCTGACGAAGATACTGACACAGAAGCTTCACGAAATAGGAGACTTAAAACGAGCATGCGTAAAAAGACTAAAATTCAGAATAATAGCGATGATGAGTTATTGAAATTACTGCAGGATAAAACTTATGATGAGGATGTTTCATTTTGTGAAATGATCATACCAATGCTCAAGAATCTCTCAACAGACCAGAAACATTACGCTAAAATTGAAATTCTGAATGCACTTAACAGAGCAACTAAATATTCACCACAAAATTTTATACCGCCTAGAGTCAGATCCGCTATGTCTCAATATCAATCATCATCATCATCGTATTCATCTTACAACCCAAATACGCCATCACCCTACCCAAATACTATCCATCAATCTCCTTCTCCTCAAATTTACCAATACCCACCATCTTTTCCTCAATCTCCGCCAGATCCGTCTCCTCAAACCCAATACACACCATCTAGTAATTCAACTGTCATTCCTCAATCTCCGCCTGATTCGTCTCCTCAAACCCAATACACACCATCTCGTAATTCAACTGTCATTCCTCAATCTCCGCCTGATCCGTCTCCTCAAACCCAATACACACCATCTCATAATTCAACTGTCATTCCTCAATCTCCGCCTGATCCGTCTCCTCAATCCCAATAATCGCTGTCAAATTTTCCAAATACTTCATTTAATCATTCTACATTCGTAGTAGAGGGGAGTGGTTTTGACATGAAAGATTATATTTTATTTAAATAAAAGTTACATTGCTTATAAATAAATGATGCTGTATGATTAAACCTTGTTTTTATTTACCTCCGTCAGTTATTAAATATACTTTGGAATGTTACAATATCAAATGGGAGGGGGGGGGGCTGGGGGGGATAAATTAAGAGAACGTGAAAATTTAAAATAAATGGTATTATCAGCGCCAAAATGACAGAGATGCATTAAATACATCTAAGCATTTCATAAAAATCTCTTTCTTTTAATAAGATTGACTTTTATAAAATGCTTAGATATATTTTAGCTTACACTGCTGTGCAGGCTGTACCTAGTACCTATAAGAATGGAACATCTTACCTTAGAGTTATCGAGAGTCTCTCTTCAGCTGAAATTGCTTTTCTCCAATTCGTATCTTGACAGGTAATAGCCCGACCAACTAGTCGTAGTAAATTATCGAATGATTTTGTAGTCATTCTGTAATATCCGAAAAACTTTTTTATTATATTCTCGCAGCTCTTGATATTTTATCTAGAAAAATCCTTTCATAGGTCTCAAGGCCGTAAATGGGTGAATCCAATGTTCGTGACATCTTAAGATAGGTTTGTCACGCCGCCGCCGCCGTAGTATCAGGTAAATTAAAAATTTTCTTTTATTCATTTTAGACGTTCGTCTCAATCGGGAACTGCATCGAACTGACAAAAATCGTACGAAATTTTATTCGCAGTGCGTAATAAGTGTAATTCCGATCACGGAATATAATACGCGAGAATAAAAATCGCGCGGTGAAATATCGCAGTGCGGACAGGGCCTTAGTAAGACAGTGCGCGCACATGCGAGTGAAAAATCGCAGCGATTTTAAAATTGTGATTTGTCACATTTTGACGCGACTACTCGCGAGGCGATTGTCGCGAAAATAAAATGCAGCGTATGAAATTGTATGGTCCCGCGCGCACTGCGATCGTAAAATCGCGCACTCGGGCCGGCCGGCGCTTCATTCATGTTCTGTCCTTTCAACAGTAAACATGTTGGCGTCTGCATCTCCAATGGAGTCTCCATCTCCAAACGACACAAAGATAGACGTGGAACATTTGATAATCACAGTACAAGAAAGACCACCTTTGTGGAATAAACATTCCAAAGAATATAGTGATAGAAATTTGAAAACGCGTTTATGGCAGGAAGTATGCGAAAATGTTATACAGAACTGGGCTGAACTAAGCAACCAAAATAAAAAAACACGGTAAGATTTATTATATTTTATTATATTGCCATGGAATAGATCCACTGGATGAAGTGAAGTGGTTTCCAAAATAATCTCGTATTTCAATACAATTAACTGTAGGTCGCGCAGACGTGGGATCCATATTTCTTAGATCACATCCATACAATTCGTCTTTGAATCGTATTCCATCGTATTTCCGTACAAAATTGTGTAGGATACAACATGCTTTGACTATTTTGTCACAAAACTCAATTTTAACTTCTAATGATCGATTCAAGGTACGCCATTGATTTGTTAAAATTCCAAAGGTGCATTCTACCATTCTTCTTGCTCTTGTCAGCAGGTAATTAAACACTCTTTGTTTAATTGATAAATTCCGTCTGGGATATGGTCGCATGATATGTTTCGAGAGTGCAAATGCTTCATCTCCAACAAAAACAAACGGCATTTTAGGTCCATCTGTATCATTTGGTAAATTTCTTGGTTGAGGTATATATAACAGGTCATTTTCCAATTTCTTTGCGAAATTGGTTTGCTTAAAAATTGTAGAATCACTGCTGCTTCCATATGCACCGATATTTATCATAATAAATTAATAATTCGAATCAGCTACAGCCATCAAAAAGATAGAGTTGTTTATAATTAAAAAACTCTGAGCCTGCTCCATTTGGTTTCTCCAGTCTAATGTTTTCCATCCACCGCGCCCAAGCAACTAGGAAAGTTTGTTCTTTTATAAAAAACCCTCAGCAATTTTTAACCAATCAATTTCCTTCGGTTCGGGCATATATATTAGATGCAAACAAAACCATAGCTTTTCACAAGTATCTTCTACTATTTCTCGAATTGTGGTAGCTCCTAATAAATATTCGTAATAAAGAGTAAAAATTGTTTCCCGATGCAAGATATCTGAAAAAAAAAGAAGAAAAATAGTAGAAATTAAGAGTATTTATAGTATTTGGGGTGGGTGAGATCTATCTCCTAGCGGTCCACCCCGGGCAACGTCTGTTGGCGGCTAAACGATCCCACCAGCGGTGGTAGGCTCCGCAAGGGGCCGCCTGGCTTGCGACCAACATGCCCATCTACAATAAAAACAAAAAAAAACGCTTTGAGATTGCGCTGTGTACGCAATAGACGAATTCGGTCAAAAATTTTCATTTATTTTACAGGTGCTGATCTACAAAGAAAGTGGAAGAACTTGAAGGACTGTTTTTCTAGAGAGTTAGGTGCGCAAAAAAAAGTGAGTCGGGTCAATCTGGTAAGAAGAAACGAAAGTACATTTTCTTTGATCAACTATCATTCTTGATACCTATTACTACTCCAAGAGACACTAGTGGCAACATCAAATCTATTGAAGAAAGTGCAAATTCGGAAACTCAATCGGACGAGGATAATAGCCAACAGAAGCAGGATTCCAGAAAAGCTATATACCAACGTAAGACAGGTGCTCAAGGACGAAAAGAAAATACTGATGAAGAGGAACTATTGAATATTTTACGTAAGAAACAAATTCTTGACGAGGATGTTAGTTTTGCAGAGATGTTGATTCCAATGTTACGGAAACTAAATGAGGATCAAAAATTTTATGCAAAAATCGAAATTTTAAATGCCATGGATAGGGCTAAAAAATATCTTCCGCAGCCTTTATACCCCGGATCAATGCAAACTGCTTCTCAGAATGTATGTCCCGGATCAAATACTGGTATGCATGCCGCGCAACCTACATACTCCGTATATAATGCAAAATACTTTCCAACCTGTATATTCCACACCAATGCTAAATCTTCCACTGTTTATACACCCTGGATCAGCTAATAAAATTCTGGTAACTATTCCTCCACCGACATACACGAATACCAGTGCCACATATATTAATGCCGAGCCGGGAACATCCTCGTCTAATTTTGTTAATCCACGAAATATTGTGATCAGCACGAAGAAACTCTCTCCAAAAAAACCGTTGATTGAAGAGAATTTCAATGAATTCAATATGAGCAATTATGAACGATTTGGACAAGATTTGCAGGCTTCTGAATCCGAGATTTCCCAAGACTCTGATGATTACTTTGGCGTGACAATGTCGACGCTTTAATAAATTTTATAGGTACTTATTAACTTAATATACTAAATAATTATAATATATTTGTTTGTTTTACTTACCTGAGGGTGACTGACAGCCTTTCTTCAGCTGGTATTGCATTTTGCCATCTAGTATTTTTTGTATTCAATATGAGGTCCAACAATTCTCAGTAATCTGTCAAATGTTTGAATTTTCATTCTATAATAGCCAAAGAATTTTTTGGGATACATCCGAAGTTCATGGTATTTCTGATAAAAGAAACCTTTGATAATTCTATCCGTTGTAAAAGAATGAGTCCAGTATTGACGAATTTTATTATTTTTTCTTCTGATCCTCCGAAGTAGTAAATAAAGATAAGCAACTTGTACGGAATCCACGGTGTAACTGAGCAAAGATCACAATTTTTTTATCGCAGTGCGCGCACCGTACGCTTTGCGATTTTTTACAGCGTGATTTTAAAATCGTGTCGCAAAAAAGAAAAATCGTGGTGCGCGCTAGGCCATAGTGTTCCCTCCATCTGAGTTAAGAGTAGTACAGTTGTTAATAAATCATAAGTTTTTAAAGCAAATCTATCTATCCTTTTCCAGTTAATAATAATGTAATGTCGGACATCCAGGGACGAATTATATACAAAGTTTAGTCTTAGTTATTGATTATTTTGTTAGTGTCAAAATAACGGCTTTTACTAAATGCATATGAAAGATTTATATAACAAAATGGATCAATTTTTTTTCTGTCTGTCTGTTTGTTCTGGATAATCTCCGAAATGACTGGATCTATTTTGACAGGACTTTCACTGGCAGATAGAAGATGATATAAGGAGTAACTTAGGCTGCTTTTATTTTAGAAAAAGAAAAGACAATAATGTAATCAAATCATAATAAATTTCCCACTGATCAAGTCTCTGAAAACAACTAGTACTAAAATTAAAATAAATCGATGACACATTACTGCACACCAAAAAACACTGACTGAAGGGTGGAATTCTTTTTCTTCAAATTATATGAGACCAACCTTGAAGTATGACATATTTAATAAAAATACAATCATTAAAATTAATTTACAATTAACAAAGATGTTATGTAACATACATACAAAAAAAGAAGTTGTTTTAAGTTAGAATGTGAGCACAGAAGATTCCTTAACACTGTTTTTTATAGGATATGGTGACAAACTAGCACACAGTCCCCCTGATGGAAAGTGATTGCTGCGGCCCATAGACATCTACATCAAATGCAGATGCGTTGTCACCCGTGAGAATTAAGATAGAATTCCTCATTTCCAGTAAAAAGGGTCCATGGTTCTCTACACTCACCATACGAAACACAGCAGCATTAAGCTGTTATTTGATGCTGGTATTCTGTGAGAGCATGGTCCTTCCCCGGTCGAGCCGACCCATTCATGCTATATATACCTCAAACTATAATAACAAACATATATATAAGTTATGTATGTTTGTTATTATAGTTTGAGGTAGGTAAGGGTACAACACATAGGGTGTTGTTAGGTAAAAGTACAACACATAGGGTACAAACACATGTCAGTTATCAAAAAACCCTTATGAATTACAATAAATATTTTTGTAACTTTAACCGTAAAGCGAAATATAACTCATAAAAATCTGATATCCTGATATCATTTGAAATGAATAAGAAAATATTACAATTCACTTACGTTCTTGGCGTCGCTGTTCTCTTGCCCATCATGGTTCCCATTGGCTGGAGGTCCTGAACGCTTAGACCGCTTGCCCCTATTACCTTCCGTTAGTGACGAGCCCTGGAAGTACCCAACTTAGTTTGTACACTAACATTTCACTTTTTGATCAAGCTGAAATACTAGTGAAAACTTTTTTGTGACGCGTGGGTAAAATATATCACCACTACATCTACAATCTATAGGAGTTCACTCCTGAACATAGGCCTCCCTCATATGGGGTGTTTTACCACAGTTGCCACGCTTAGGAGGCGTGTTGGCAACAGCAGATTTAATTAATTTGAGTTTTTATCACAGAGATGCTGCTGCCCATTCCCTGTTTCCATTTCCCTCCGCCGCCTGATATAGCAGATACCTAAAATAGTCCAAAGAGCCAGAACGGTAAAATATCTCAGTGAGAACATTCGGATAACAGGTTCGCACACTTATGTAGCTCTATATGGCAAAACTGTCTTGTTTCCCACTTACACTACACATTACTGATCCGAATAAATTGGAACGATTGGTAGATACGGCACTCTGAGCAACATTTTTTATAGAATAATGGTGAAAGACAAGCACACAGTTCTCCTAATGATTAGTGGAAACTGTGGCCCATAGACGTGTACATCTATCCTCAGTTACGAATCAAAAAGTGGTTCTGACAGAATATCAGAGCTGCAGTAACTCTGTTACGGTACTGTTATTCTGAGTCAGTAGCCATTTTGTTGCTGTAATTAACTTTTTTAAATATTTAGTTAAGTATCCTTAGGACTAGGATGGAATGCCTCGTCACATCCAGTAAAAAGGGTCTGCTATACGACACACATCACTATTGAGCTGCTATTTCACGCTGGTTTTCTAAGAGTTCGTGGTCCCGCCGAGCCGACCCATTCATGCTACAACCATAATATAGCTGCGGCGTGGTTCTACCTAATGTAAACCCCGGTATCTCTCTAATGACAAGTTTGATATTGAATTCTGTGTTTGTGAAATGTGTGGCGCAAACCACAAAGGTTTTATGGTGGGTTTGGCATGCGAAAGTGTGGTTATGAGTGTGGGTACCTGCACGCTGGGGTCGGCCGCGGGCGGGTTCTTCAGTATAAAGGTGTTGAGCTTGTGGTTGAAGTCCAACGCCCCATGGTAGCCGCAAGCCTTGCAGCCCTGCGAAATGCTGTTGCGTTTAGTCGACACAATCAGTTCAGTCTCCGGGTTGTCGCATTCCGGGCACAGCACAAACTTGCGGATGAACCTGTATAGACAAATTAATAAATCATCATCATATATGTTATGAATGAGGGATTGAGGGGAAAAGAAAATATAAACAAATACAGATAAAAGATTTTGACACAAAGAGTTACTGAATGGGAAGAAACTGACTCCTGAAATACAGGGTATCCTAGTTTGGGAGTCAGGGCTCAATGATGTTGTATGTAATTACTAATTATAAGTGTCAAATAAATAAATTATTGTTATTATTATTATTATTAAAACTATAATCTCCCATTCATTTTAGCAGTATAAAATACTGCCGCAGACAACTTAAAGGAATCAGTCATTCAGAAGGAATTAGTCATTCTACAAGTCTTAATCGGTGTCGTGATTCTACTTGTGGTGGTAAATCTGTTGGTAAATGTAAAGATAATGTGATGTTATCAATATGATGTGACCAGGATCAAGAAAGTTGCTCAGTTGGTTAGTTGGTGGAATGTGACCAAACATAGAAAGAATGAATGAGGAAAGACCGACAAAGCAAATTTATGTTGCAGATTTTAACGGCAGAGTAGGGAAGATCCTTAACCGACAAGCAAGAGGAGTGTCAGGATCGTGCCAAATGGTAGTCCGTAGTATCTGCCTACCCCTCTGGGTGACAGGCGTGAGTATTAATGTTTTTTTCTTTAATGTAATTGCGGAGACACTCTTGTCTTATATCATATTGTAACAGGTAGTACCGACAGTTTTAGCATACATCTAATTGCTCAGTACTTTGTAACATATAATTCATATGTTTTATAACATGAAACTGTTACTGATTGAACTTCTTTTATTAAAATTATTAAAAAATAATTAAGAGTAATATAACATCAGAAGTGGATTAATTTCTAACATATAAAAGCTAAACTCTTAAAATCATTATTCCACATTCATCATAAGGCCACAGCTGAAAGCCAAGCAATGCCACAAAACACGGACTTCCTGCATGTCCTACCAGGTCATCTACTCTACTCTATCTAGTTAAGGGTTTACAAAGGGCTAGTTTGCTGATCCTTTGATTAGTGATAATCGAATATATTTACGAAAATGTAAATATATGTAAAAAGTTACTTACCCGTCCAGCAGGTCCTGAAGCTTGGCAGAGTCGTGGCTGCCATTGACGATGAAACGCTCGTTTTTGAAGTCGAACTGTGTCTGAGCACCCAGCTCGCACCCGAAGTACTTTGTAGGGTCTGAAAGGAATGAAATGACTTTTATCACCAAACACTTAAAAGACAAAACTGTGTAGCGGCAACTTAAGAGAACGACTGTAAGACTTAACTGTATATCATTTTATGGGGGTCAAAAAAGGCAATATAGGATAATTAAAACGGAAAAGCAAAAGAAAGAGCAAAAGAATATTACGGATACCATTCAATAACAATAATCCGTTATCATTATGGCTGAACATAGTCTCCCCCATAGATTGATGTCTTCGCTACGTTGCTACGCTGAGCCAGGCGGGTTTGCAACCTCACTTTACATTATTTTGATCTTTTATCAGGAAGATGCTGCTGCTCATCCCCTGTTTCGTTTTCCCTTCATATTACAACCACGGGACGATATGGGGTGGTGGATATCATTCACCATTATTACACAATATGTGGCCAATGGTAATTAATAATTATGATATCAATATGCGGCGATACAACTGGCAAAATAAAAACATTTGTACAAATGTAATTAAAATGAGAACATTATCAATGTAGTCGAAGTCAATCAAATTACGCATTACTAAAGATAACCCAAACAGTACAAATTTATATAGGACTGCATGCAGCTATATTAGTGTTTTAAAAAAAATTATGGTTGTAATACGAATGGGTCGGGGCTCTACCGGGTATAATTTAAGTGGAGACCTGTATTTAGGGTAAGCCAACCAAATAGGTAAAAGCCCCATATCTACGCGGCAGAAATATGATACAAATAATATAATATTGAATTATTTTATTAAAAATTAAAAAATGTAATAAAAAAAACTAAAATCAATAACTTAAATCAACATATAGTCCTTATCCCCGTGGTATCGTGCCAAGAACGCTGATTGCGTTTCCTCGCTGAATGGCTAAAAAAATTAATTTGCCAACTGACATAATAAAATAAAATGACCGAGCGGTCAGCCACCGCGGAGTCTACGTCGTCACCTGAGGGTGCTTTTTTTATACGCGGTAGAGCCACGCTGCAGCTATATTAGTGTTTTAAAAAAAATTATGGTTGTAGTACGAATGGGTCGGGGCTCTACCGGGGAAGAACCATGCTCTCTCACGGAATACCGGCGTAAAATAGCAGCTTAATACTGCTGTGTTTCGTATGGTGAGTGTAGAGATCCGGAGACCCTCTTTTACCAGAAATGAGTCATCCATCTTAGTCCACAGGGATGACAACGCATCTGCGTTTCGATTCTCAATCGAGGATAAATGTTGATGTCTATGACCCACAGCATCCATTTACCATCAAGTTAACTGTGTGCTCGTTTGTCACCTTATTCTATTTAAAAATTCTAATATAATATTATTGACGGTGGTGACTTTCCTAGTGTAATAGTGTTGGGATAATGGTGACGGGATTGTGCAAACAATAGAGAGGGCGGGAGGTGTTCTTCAAACAAGGTAAAACAAATTATTACATTTTATTACGCGAATCTTACCTAATAAATTTTAACACCTTTGATATGAATAATGAGACGTGCGCCGAATTCGCGGTTTTGACCTGGAAAGAAGTTTGGAAGAGATGGTACTCACAGGTGGCTGGTCTGCCAAGTGCCTTTGCGACCTCTGGCATGTTGACGATGACGGTCTTGATGCCGTTGCCCTTGCCCTCGACCTTGGCGCATATGCGCGGCATCTTGTAGCGGTAAAACGCGTCCGCGACATTCCGGTTCACGTTCACGGACCCCATGGCTGATTGCTATACACTTGCACTACTATATAAAACTAAATAATTATCCTGGGGATGGCTCGCTGTTGACACTGCACCTGAAACAATTCCGTGGTAAGTGCCCTGATTATGACATATTAGCATAAATTATTTTGTTAAAACTTTTTGTAACTTTATATTCTAATATAAGAATATCCACTACCCCCCATATCGTCCCGTGGCCGCCGTTAGGGACGACAGAGGGGAACCAAACTGGGAGATAAACAGCAGTCTTTCTAATAACACCACCAGAAAAAAAGCTGTCAACCCGCACGCCAAGCAACAAAAAATGGCATTTATGCCAATTTTTTTTAAACATTGCTTATGAGGCAATATATAATCTTTTGAGGGGTTGTAATGACGAAAACTGATGAATGAAATTATTGATTGTGAAAATATCTACATCATAAAGTAAGTACTGATCAGATATTATTTTGTGAAGGCTCTATACAACTAGTTTTGTAATAAGTAAATATTGCATCCAGCGCAGAGCAGTTCGAATCGCCGGAGACCGAGCATTTTATGATCGGCTTGACTCACTGAGTCACTGACGCTGCGAAGAGATGTTGCATCTCTTTGCGTACGTGCGTGCGTGCTTTAATATATATATTAAAAGGATTGTTACATTTATTATAAAATAAAATTTTCTTATATTTTAATTTTATATTTCATTTCATTTAAAGGTTTCACTTCTGTCACGTGTGAGCTGCACGCATGTTTTTTTTTTTTCAATATAAATTAAAAATAATACTTCTTGAAAGTGACTTTTATGTTTAATTTAGCACTGATTCGGAAAATACCCCTATCCTGTAAAAATCAGCAAGCAATCCAGCGGGAAATTTTTTTTCAAATTAAAGAGAATAAAATAGTTAACAATAGTTTAAGTTTCACAATAATTAAAAACGCAATAAAATTAGAAATAGCTAGGTAGTGATCACCTCATTCCTAGGGGTTATTAATTAATATCATCCATAAATTCCGTTATTAAGCCCCGACGAAAAAGAGGGGTGTTATAAGTTTGACTGCTATGTGTGTATTGTCTGTCCATCTGCGTGATTGTCTGTGGCACCGTAGCTTTTAAATGGGAGAACGGGTGTTTTTTATTATTATTTAAAAGCAGGTTTTCTATCAGTGGTTCTTAGACATGTTTTATCAAAATCGGTTTAGTCGTTTTAAGAATATCAGCTTTTTTGTTTCGAGTTTTTTTATTTTGAAGTGGTCATTATAATCAATCTTTGTTTACAGTTTTTAAACTTGACGGAAGTCAGAATTTGTGTATTTTCTGGGATTTTGTTGTAAAAGCGACAGCAGTTATTTCGATACAACAGACACTTCAATTTCATCAAAATCATCATCATCAGGCCTCCCCCCCTCCCCAAGGAATGCCACAAAGCACGGTCCTAAACCACCTGCTTCCATCGACTTCCCGCATGTCTTACCAGGTCGCCATTGCATCGAGGGTGGTTGTCACCCTACACTTCGCCTACCGGTACGAGGCTGCGATTCGAGAATATAATAATTTTAATTATATGTATGTTTTAGATGATACTTTCGATCGTAATTCTCAGTGTGGTGTATGTTTAGCGTGTGGTATGTGGTGTGTGGTGCGGTGTGTTGACACCTGTGCACTAGCGGCGCGGTGGGCGGCAGCGGGCCGCGGGCTGGGCGTGGGCCCGCGCGCGCGCCAGTCACGTCTGTCGCAGCGGCAGCAGCTTCCGGTGCCTGCTGCTGTTCAACTTCGACGCTCTGCAACGTTACAGTACCAACAATCAGCCCGCGTGGATGGTGCGCCTGCACCATTCACATACGTATACCGTTTACAGGCTATTAAAGTCACCTGCTGAACACAGGCCTCCTCAATAGATCGGATCTTAGAAGATATATTTGTGATAGTTGCCACGCTCGGTATGCGGATTGTTATTTTTAGTTGTCATGAGGGAGACGCTGCTACACATCTCCATGTGCCTGCCATGTCATGCCATGCCGTGGGTGTTGTAAGAGGCGACAGAGTGAAAAAACTGAGGAGAGCAAACAAGATGCAATAAATATATTTTTTAAATATATAAAATTATAGACTCAGATTGAGGTTATTAGGTATTAAATTAATAATTAAAGTTAATAGTATTAACTTAAAAGAAATTAACATGAGTAAGATTTTTGTTGTTAAAATGAAAGTATTGTTTTTTTATATATAGGATAAGGATGACAAACGAGCGCACAGTCCATCTGATGGTAAGCGGTTGCTGTGGCCCATACACATCTACATCTATGCTCTTTTGCAAATCAAAATGTGAATGCGTTGTCGTCCGTGAGGACTAAAATGGAAAGCCTATTTTCCAGTAAAAAGTGTCCCCGGTTCTCTACACTTACCATACGAAACACAGCAGCATTGAGTTGATATTTTACGGTGGTATTGTGTAAAAGCGTGGTCCTTCCCCGGTCGAGCCGACCTGTTCGTGCTATAAATATACTAATATAGGTACTGCAGCATGGCTCTACCACGTACAAAAATCAAATCAATTTTGCGGAAAAAGGCAATTTGAGTAATCAAAATACAGTGGAAAATGTCTCTCAGATGCGACAGAATTCTTTTGGAAACTGGAGTACTTCTGCACCATTTTTTTTTTCAAAATTGGGTGTGTAACGTCATTGCGCCAGAAAACAAGCGGATCTGCGTTTTTCGTTATATTAGGAAACCTTGAATTTGAAAGGTAAGAGGTAAAATTATCGCTGATGCAGATATATCGGCAAATCCAAAGTTTCACCGATATATCTGTATTGGTATCGGTTGAAACCCTAATTGCAAGATTGAGTATAGCAGTGCTAACTTTTACGGATTTTATCACGTTTTTAACCCTACTTATTTAAAATCTGTTATATTGTAATTAAAAAAAGCTTTTTCGGGTACACGTAAAGACCCGACACCTCGGTAATTAAAAATATTTAAAATTAAGCGCAATAAAATCTGTAAATGCAGTTTTATTGAATGCGTAGTGTTGGCGTAAATATAAGAAACCCTTGGACCGTGTTGAGGAATAGGTTCACCTGCGGGCAGTATTGCTCGGTGTGTGTAGCGTCATGCACGCTCGTCGGCAGCCGCCTGCTCCCGACGCGACAGTCCGCCTGCTCTCCGCGCTCTGTACTGATGCCTCTGCAACAAACCAAAACTAAATTAAACACTATCCAAACAGGTCAACAGCAATCCAGTGATAGCTCACGCAGTCCATCTGAGGGCATGAGGTCACAAACACACCACGACAGCAGCGTGTGTAGGAACTAAGGTGGTGTTGTTGTTGTTGTTGTATAAAAAGAAACTTGTTCTATAAAAAGAAAAAGAAAGAACTTGTTCTATAAAAAGAAAAGTTAGGAAACTTTTCTTTTTATAGAACAAGGGTGACAAACAAGTACGCTGTCCACCTGATGGTAAGTGGATGCTGTGGCCCATAGACATCTACATTTAACCTTAAGAATCCAAATGCAGATGCGTTGTCACCGCTGAGGATTAAGATGGAATGCCTCGATTCCAGTAAAACGGGTCTCGGGTACTCTACACTCACCATACTAAACACTGCAGCATTAAGCTGCTATTTTACGCAGATATTTTGTGAAAGCGTGGTCCTTTACCGGTTGAGCCGACCCATTCGTTCTACAACCATAATATAGCGTGGCTCGTACCACGTGTTACGTACGTACGTTTATGTACATATATTTTTTTTATTTTTTTTTATTTACATCCAACTTATATCTAACATTACAGGTTTCTACCCAATGCGATAGATAAAGCACTATTTACAATCCTATATTAACTATATTACTATATTAACTTATATGTATTGTTTGTTACTTGTGTATCTTCCGGCAAACCCGATTTTAGGACAAATTAGTTATTTCTTAAAAAACTTTTCTGAATGCTACTACGAAATGTATAAAAATTACCATTATATATGTATCTCAAATGGTTAACGCTCGCTGTAAAATATCACAGTACGCGAGTAACCCGAGTCGATCCCCACCGGCATCAATGAAATTGTTAACTGCAATTTTAAGTGTTGATTTACCACGTCGTGGGCGGTGAAGGAAAACATCGTGAGGTAACCTGCATGTCTGAAGAATAAAAAAAATATAAACATGTGAAATTCGCAAAAACGCATTGGGGCAGCGCGGTGGACATTTCCTTGCCCTAAAAAAATGCTCTCAGGCATTGAGGGGAGGCCTGTGCGCAGCAGTGGGCGCTGTAACTTTATGTAATGTGGAATTAGAAAATGAAAATGTCAAAAATACAAAAGCAAAGCACCGATCAAGTCGTGGACCGAAGCAGACGTCTAATTGACAAGTAAGGTTTAGGAAAAACTAGTTTAGCCTAGGAAAAAGTAGTTTGTCCCAAAATAGGGTATGGCCTGTAACATCCATAGAATTAGCGTTCGATCGCATAATGTTAATTTATAAAATAGAAGACATGTCAAATATGATATTTAATTTAAAACTTGAAAGAGTACATAATAATATAATACGCCTCAGTTATCGCTTTATGGTTGTGTAATTAATATTTATGTAAAAATATTAATTACACAACCATAAAGCAACACTAAGCATTTGTTTAGTTGACGTATTTGACGTACGATTTTGGAAGATAAACATTTATTATAATATAAAATTGATTTATAATCCGTAATCTATATACAAAGAAAATTAAAGTTGATCGAGCGCTAGTATAATTTTTATCGTGATAATTTTAGGTCAACGTTGACGACTTTTGTTTACATTTACTGGACAATTGCTTAGCTGAGACCATATAATGGGGTAGATACAGCAATTATTGTTTTACCCTAAAAATGAAATAAAAAATGCAATCAGATGACGTCCATTCTGATAATTTTTCTTTGATCTATGATATTACATACATTTCTATAATACATATTATCTGCAATTCTTTTGTATGTACTATATTTTTAGATAATTAACGAGCTTTTCACATAGCACACGTCAAAACACAAGAAGATTAAAAATCCCAAAATCCCACGCTAGAGTTAACAATCAACGTGACCTAAATCAATCAGGTTAATCTCAGTATATTAAACCATTCAACCATCTAATGGAAATGGATAATTCTCTAAAGACTGGTCTAATCGGACATGCAATCGTCTGGAAACCTATTCAATACAGGCTTTCCAACTCCGCACTATGTGCGGTGAACAGTGATCCTTGTAAGAAGCTCAATGAAGCGCCCTTTCTCCGGTCACTGCCTTTTCAATCTAGTTATTTTGATGGGTAGTGTCATTAAGATAAGTGTTTAGGTAATGGCCGTAATCGTAGGTACTTATTAAATACATCGGAAAATGATTTCGTTTCGCAAACAAATCACTAGATGGAGGAGAAAAAATTTGGGCCCAGTTTTGGGAGTGGCCTTGGAGATAATGAAAAACCAGACGAAACATTTTGTCATGGTTTGGTCATAAATTTTTTTAGTTTGGTTTGTTAAATGATACAATATCTAGAGTCATCTCACAGAGGCTCATATTTGCGCCACATAATCAGTTCACTTGGCTCCGAAGTCACCCCAGCTCTAAGCGACCCCCCTGAAATGAGAGGTTGCCAAAGGGTCTCCTGCCATCGTATCTTTGTATGAGAATAATTCATTTAATTTATTCAAAGAATGATTCTTTGTTCGTAGGGCGTGTAGGAGGATGAACCAGTACGAATTCTCTTATAATATATCCGAAATAAGATCCTATAGTAACCAAGCCAAGCACATAAAATAACCGTCACTCCAAGAATCAATAACGCCAAGGAAAATTTAAGCCAGAAACCCCGAATATCGCCGCCAGTAGCATCGGCGGTGATTGATAACTGTGTTATTAAATGACATTTAATGACCATTATCAGACGTTTGACGTATACTTATAGCAAATACGTGCGATAATAGTTTACCCGACAGCGGAACAATGAAAAATGATACAACAGAACACAAGTTCAGTGAATCTGGATTCGACAGTTAGATCCCTACTGAAATCATGAATCATCGTCATCACAATTCCACTGTTGAACATAGGCCTCCTCCAAGGAACGATTGCACGAGACTATTGAGACGACCAAAGCACGGTCCTGAGCCAACCGCATTTATCAACTTCCTGCATCTCTTAACACCTTACCAGGTCGTCACTTCACCTACATAGCTTGGGACCGACCTACACTTCGCTTACCAGCACAAGGCTGCCACTTGAGAACCTTTCTTCATCACAACCATACATTACACTACAAAAATTATCTTTTAACACTAAAAATTTAACTTCAAATAAAAGTCATATAAATATTTTTAAACAAAACAAGCACGGATTAAATAAAACCTTAATACATAAATGGTAATAAAAAAAATTTACTGCGTAACCTACATAAAAGCGACAAAGTTGTGAATGTAAAGCACACCAAAAAAAGCAAACAAGTTTTACGCCAATGACAATTTCAAAGATTGTGACGTCAGCACTCAACAGAAAATAACTTACACTTGAGCCATCGATCACTAATAAAAAACTTTATTAGTTCTTTATTAGTGATCAATGACTTGAGCAGTAAAATACCTAGCTCGCCGTACTCCACGCCACTCACTCATGTCAAGAATAATAAAAAAAGTAGCAGGTACTATTGGGAAGTAAAAATAGAGAGTTGGACACAATAGTAGTTTTATCGATAATCAAAGTTTATTAGAGAGGGTAATGAAAGTAGGAAAATCAGGACGCTGTTTCATACCAGGATGATTTCAAAAACCCTCAGTATTGACATTGCGGTGAAATGAATACGAATACGATTATCGTGTATCGGCGAACATCGTAATACGATTAGATTACAATATTCACTATCGTAATATTACGATTCATAAAATTACATAATTTTATATTAAGTCTTGGTTTAAAGATATTTTTTTATGAAACACACGGACAAAAGAAATAGTCTGAAAGGCGAAAGCTTCACAAATTTATGTTCTTTATTTAAAAACCTCAATAATAAATTATGAATATATTATTTAATAAAATTGATATAAAAAGCATGTATTCTTTTATGTTATTTAGTTTAAATAAAATTTTAACATAAGAAAAAATAGTAAAGCATTCGTTTTGTTATTCGTGATTGTATTACGAACTACTACCGTGTATTCATCACTTGTTTTCACGTTAAAATCATATTGTTTAGATATTACATATTTGTTAAAAGGTAAGTAAGCGACAAAATTATCAATTATCTATTATGATTACGATGATGACGATATGAGATGAGAAGATTAACAGTTAGGTAGTTAATTTTCACGTATCACATTGTTTGCGAATATAATATCAACGCTGTTTAAACACGTAACAGATAATAAATTTAATGATAAAGCAATTTAACATACGAACAGGCGTTCTTACATGAATTTTCAGATTTTTTCATGACTGATGCAGTGCCTTTTGCAGTTATAAATTATTACAAAGCATGAGTAAGGGACGAACACTTCACCTTGACTTTAATGTATCCCGAGGGTGGGTAACAAAGTTTATACTTAAGATATGTAGAAACGGCTACACACATATACTAAACGATATGGTTTTACCACTATCTATTGAAAGTCATAACAAGTTTTTTTATTGAATAAGAGGGACAAACGAGCACACCGTCCTTCTGTGTGTATGCTGTGCCGCATAGACATCTATCATCGATTAAAAATTAAATTGCACATGTGTTGTCACCCCTGAAGACTAAGATGAACGGAATACCTCGTCTGCACAAAATAGGATCTCCAACTCTCTACACTCACCATTGAGCTGCTATTTTACACCGGTATTCTGTGAGAGCGTGATCCTTGACCGTCGAGCTAATATTCGTGATGCAATCATTATATAGCTGCAGCGAGACTACCACAAAATATAATATCTTTCTAGCAGTTTCCATTCACATTTCTTAAAACATCCATGCGAGGAAATGGAAATGGATTCTCTTAAGCCACTAGCATATATCACACGCCAACACAACAACAAAATAATTACACATTAAATAATAATTATAATGTAAAAAATACAAAAATATCGACAACCCTATTATAAAATATCGCTAACTCAATACATGGAATGAATTCATGTGTAACACACGATAATAGCGCTACTAAAACGGCAACAGCCACACCAATCTCAATCTTGACACATGGGCAACAAGGCCTACATTCAATTGCCTCTAACCGAGATTGACAATCATGACCAGCGTTATACTACATCGAGGACCTTGAAATGTGAGCTATGATTGGTAATTGGTTAATACACGCGTGGACCACTCGGCGGAACGCGTACAATAAAATTTCTCACGCGTTTACAAGATTTATAGCACGATAAATTTAAACTGTCACTAGTTTACCTATACGTGTTAGAGCAATGCTGCATCTATATTATAGTTGTAGCAAGAATGGGTCAGCTCGACCGGGGATGGACCACGCTCTCACAGAATAGCAGCGTCAAATAGCAGGTGAATGCTGCCGTGTTTTGTATGGTGAGTGTAGAGAACCGGAGACCATTTTCACTGGATCAGGTGGCAATCCATTTTAGTAGACAGGGATGACAAAACATCTATCTACATTTGGATTCGTCATAGAGAATCGAAGTTGTCTACGGGCCACAAAGTCCATTTACCATCAGCGAGGCTGTGTGCTCGTTTGTCACCCTTATTCTATTAAAAAACCTCGGTTGTATGGTTCAGTGTGCAGAGTAATATTTCTAAAAAGCGGTACAATGACAGTGCCATTTTTGGCAAATAAAAATGTGTGGTGAAAGTGCCTATTATGCACAATTGCCTTTACGTAGTATAATTATTTCTTGGTTCCGTGCGGCCAGCCCTCTGTAAATCTCTCTCACGCAGTCACGGCATTATTTGGGTGACCGTACCTATTTCATAGCCATTAGTTACAGTTACAGCCCATCGAAAGTCCACTGCTGAACAAAGGCAAGATTGCCTGATAAAAAGAGACTAAAAAGAAGCTTTCTATTCAGCTGTTGTCAAGATGCCCATCTTGTTCATCTACCCCACAGGACGATATAGGGTAGTGGATATTCTGACATCGTTTCTACACTGTTCATACCGTGTGCAAGTAAATAAGTTAGTTGACAAGTATTTGAATAAAGATTATTGGTATCAAAATATGCGACGCAGGCAAGATTTCATCAAAATCTTCTAAAAAATTATTATCACATTTATTAGCATGGCGATTGCAACATTGAGATACACCTCCTGTGATACCGAAGATAATGAACGCAATTTTGTCAAGGTCAGTCAGTCGTCAATTCTAATTTAATTTTAGTTTATTTTAACATGGCGTCCAACTTTTCCCCGGTGCTGTGGTAGTGGGGCGTAAAATCTTCCAAACAATTTTAAAACTCAAAGTATTAATTTTATTCACGCAACTATATCCCAGTTTTCAACATAAAACACAAAACAACGTGCCCCGCGCCACGCTATTCCAAAACTACGCCTATAACCCGCAATGCGACACTCCGTAATAACAAACCTTACACTATAAATCTTATATATATAATATTATCACTATAATCTTATAAATCTTATCCATTTCTAACAAGCTTAAAGCTTAACAGTAGTTACAGTAACCGACTGCGTAAAGTTTACTGAAAAGAGAAAAAATTTATATTCTGTGTCACTTCCACAACTGTGAGAAATCATATATATTATGTTAAAATTAGTCAAGCCGTTCAGGCTACAGAGTCAAACAAATAGACATATGTACATACTCTTGAAAACAATACTTTTCTTCTGGGGCAGTCGGATAAATACATAACAAATCAGCTCTATCAACGTAAAGGAGAATAGTGTCTGTATGTTTACGTGGCAGAGCCACGCTGCAGCCACATTATGGTTGCAGCAGGAACGGGTCGGCTCGACCGGGGTGGGGGCTACGCTCTCACAGAATGCCAGCGTAAAATAGCAGCTTAATACTACTGTTTCGTATGGCCAGTGTGGAGAACCAGATACCCTTTTACTGCAAACGAGGCATTTCATCTTAGTCCTCAGGGATGACAAACACATTCTGCATTTTGATTCTTAATGCATCTATATAAAACACAAAATATGTTTCTACCTATGTCCGTTATAGATCTTGAAATTTGAAACCATCCAACTTTATTGGATAATAAATAATGCGAAGATAGTTTTAGATCAATAAAATAATGCATTAGGAACTATTCAAAAAAGTTAATAAATAAACAAAATTTCCTTTTTTCCAACAAATAGACAAAATGTATTTCATTTTTTAGCACACGCCGAGCATCAGATAGTCGAGGAAAAAGTTCATAGGTCAGTACATCCACTTAGCATCAGGTGGCCTGTATGCTCTTTTGTCACACTTATTCAATAAAATTAAAGATAAATCATTAATAGAATCAGGCGTTACTTTGCGGCGGCTGACCGCTAAGTTAAAACAACATAAGTTAAAACTTAGCGGTCAGCCGCCGTAGAGTCTACATCACCTGAAGATGCCTCGTGTAGAGACGAAACACGTGTCTTATTATTGGTGTGTCTTTCCTAGAATAATCGTATTGGTGTTCTTCAAACTAGGTTTTTATTCTTTTATTAACGTTACTCTACGGTGTATTGGGGGGTAATAATGAAGGAAAGACGCATCATTTTATTTAATTGAGCGGATGGTTGCAAAGCAACTATTAATATCTTTATTAAAGATAAATCGTAGCGCAAATCTCGCGCAAATCACAAAGAATGTTTATAACGAAAGACCCAGAAGTCCAATTGCTTACATTCCGCTGTATCGCATTCGTTACACAATAACACAGGAAATCCTCAGACACACGCACAATCATAGTTACTACCAGAGCAGGGGAATGCTAACCTTATCAACGGTAGATAAAGACTAGAATGCCAGATCACATTGGGCACATGTCACCGCATTGATGGCGCGCACCGCGCACCCATATACACAACCTACCACAATGTTTTCATTTAAACAACAATCATAAGACAAACATTTAATCGACAGCCTCTATCGACAGTACGCGTGGTGCAAGTGATAAATGAAAGCATGTATGTGTAAGGTATATCCTAATACCTCATCACTATTACAGCTCATCACAACATACCTACATATAATTACACAACATAACATACATATAATTTATACATGGTGTACTATAAATATTGTAATTTGATTGAATTCTATATTTATTCAAATTTAAACTCTGTCTTAATATGCTATGCACGTACAGGTTGTCACGTTCTGTAAATATATTGTTCCAGCTTTATACTTTGTGACATGTAATAAAGAATTATGAATTACGATGTTAGGCCCGCCGCTGATTGCAATTTTTTGTCGACGTGACTTTTTGTCACTTAGTCAAGTGTCAATGAAGTCAATGAAAACTATATTGAGTGCGCTCATTATGGTGACGTGATAATACGGTGACAAATAGTTGCAGCGGCAGGCAACACCGGAGTGACGTGACTGTCACTCGCCCTGTGCATTACTATGGGAGTCCGCTCACTGGTGACTTTTTGTCACTCGGCCGGCGCCGCGCGTTCGGAGTAGACGTATGCTATTTAAAGTATTTGTTAAATAGTATTAATATATGTGGCAAATTACTCTGTAGATGATTGTGATATTGCAATTTTTTATGCCTCTGATTAATAAAGATTTTTTGTTTAATTAAGTAGTTGATGTAGTTTTTGTTACTTACCTCAAAGTTACCGTTAACCTTTCTTCTGCTGGAATAGCTTTGCAAAGCCAGCAACTAATCAAAAGAGTTTATATACATACGAAGATAATTAAAAAACTTTGGTGGATACTGACGTAATTCAGAATATATAGTGTAGGATTTTCCTTTAAATAATCTTTCCGTGTATATAGGATGCACCCAGTAGCGTTTTTTCCGTTTCATTTTTCTTCTACGTATTTCAAGAGCACACACTACTATTTTCGACAACCATAGCTTTTTCGGCAAACTTTTCCGATTTTATTATACACCTAGCGGCCCGCCCAATTTCACCTGGGTTAGGTTTATTAATTTGGCGTTTTATGATAAGAAATGATCGTTTACTTTAATCAATTTTTCATTTTGTTTAAAAAAAATAACTGGCAAGTTTTTAAATTACGCTTGGTATTGCTCTCTACCCGTTAG